ACACACACACACACACACACACACACACACACACACACACACACATGTATCGTATCCACATAAAGATATTCCGTGCTCTGTTTAACAACGTTTGTCGGTATCTTACCAAGAAATATCGCTTTATGGTAGTCAATACAAACAGTAGCTTGATAGGTTTTCCGTTTCATATAATTGGCAAATACAATATCCCAGAAATGTTACTATAAGATTCTCCAATATAGTTTTCTTATAAACAGGACACCGACAAATATGGTTAACGTAAAATCTGGAATACCATTACTAATCTATCAACACAAGATATTAAAAAACTACCAATTTTATTGAAGAATTGTAATATTTCCAGCTATAAGGCATAAGCGCGCGAAATTTGCCTCATATGAAAAAAATTCCGTCGTCTTGCCATTCAATATCTCATTACCATATACATATGTCTTATCGTAAGGAGACTCACAGAATACTCGAAACATTCAAACAGATCCACTATGCCTTTTCGAATTAAACTGGAAACACTACGTGCGAGGTCGTGATTAAAGAGTCATATCTATCATATATCAAAGACTTGTCAATTCTGCTTAATGTAAGATGTGAAAGAACTCGCGGTAATTACAGTACAGTATACAACAAATACGTGAATCTAACAGTAAGTTTGCAAGAATTTCTCTCTTCTTCCTATAAATCACATTCAATATATTCTACGTTAAAAAGAATTATATAAATAATACACATAGAAATTTGCATAAAGATCTTATGCACAAGCTGTTGCCTAAGTATAATAACCTCAATTAGATAATTATTTATTTATTAATTAGGTTTAATTGCATAATTATTTAATGCTGCAAACTGAAAGTAAAATATTTTTATCGAAGAATAAGATAACTGTATTATGTTATTATCTAACAAATTGTTATCTCCTTCCTTCCTAATTGTACTACGAATGAAAACGTTTCATATATATATATATAACGTAGAAGAATATATATATATATATATATGTATATATATTTATATATAAACTCATTATCTATGAAACCAGCGTATTTCAACTTATGATTCGCACAATTCTCTCTATTATACTCCCCAGTTTCTTATTAACATAAAAAAAGTTGCTTATATTAGACAATATAAAATACTTCTTACATAAACGAATTTATCACTTCCTTCTCGATATTTTTCATTTACACTGAAACTTTAGAATGGTCTCTAGATCGAGATATGACGGAAAGCATTTATTTACATTGCAGCCTCGTATTATTCCTCTTAGTTTCACCTTTGTTAGCTATTTTTAACAGAATTGATGTTAGTTCCATTTGTCTTAGAATAAGTCGTGACGAGCTTCTGTACTCTTCGTAATTTTAAATAAACTTATTTAAAAATATTATGCCAAGACATCTTATTAAATATATTTCTCCTTATTACCTACATTCTAATATATGTAATATGACTTAACTAATTTGTTAATGTCATTTGTAAAGAATTAATGATTCTCTATGACAATAACATAAATCATAATTTACAATATCATAATTATACATTTTTTGCTTGATATTTTGCTAAACCACGAAACTACAATATTTTTATAAATTATTACGTGTACCTAATGCACTAGTGGCAAAAGAAGTTCTCGTATCATGCAAATGGCCCAATGTGTTCCAAACCAGTTGCACTGAGAGCTATGCAAAGTATTTTTAGATAAACACTGCACTCACAGTTTTTCTGTACACAGCATGTAGTTTCTCTGTCTTTCTCGATCTTTTAATGAATTTTTCTTTTTTTTCTTTTTAATAGTTACACTTACACTGGGAGGAAAGTAAAACATTAGACTATAAAGTAGGTACATTTTTCCTCTTGCATTTGTTATTACGAAATTGTCTGTAACATGTTTATATTACTACCACCTTCATCCTCTTCTTCCTCTTCCTAAAAATAGAAAATGAAAAATAGATGTAGTATATATCATGTATTCATTGAGGCAAACTTGTATTATATTTTCTTCGATATAAGCGTGAGTTTCTAAACATACTTCAAGCAAAACATAAAGCACCACTCACTTCTTCATCAAAGCCGAAACAAGTTTCCATTTCCTTTTGTAATTTTGGGTCGCTTTGTGTGGAAGATTTACTCGTAACGGTTTCTATCTTCATGTCTTGGATTTCTATATCTTCCTCTTCCACTTCATCAACCTCCTCTCCTGTCGCCGTTACTATGCTGCTTTCTTGACTCAAAGGATCTTGCATTACCAATTCACCATCTTCGCTCGCGACCACGGCCATCTGTTAGAAATAATTAAGTAAACAAAATCAACTCATTATTTATTTGACTGCATGCTATACAAAAAGCAAGACCTACATATCGCTCACCTGGTCGGTTCCTTGATTGTCAGCTAACTGGATCACTTCTAGTACGACGTATTGTTGGCCGTCACTGCCTTGGACTGCCATCATGGCATCTTCTTCATCCTCTTCCTCTTCTTCGTCCTCGTAACCTTTAAGTTTAGAATCACCTGTTATCACAACATACAACACATGGATATTAGTCAATGATCTGCAGTTAGATCATATCGTAAATGTCCCTGTGAGTGTAAATGTTCATGTACATTTCTGTACACTATCAATCGTATAGACATATAACGGCAAGATAAGGTAATGTAAAGAAATCACTTGATATTTATGAAGAATATATTAATAAGGGGCTGTTGATAAACGATATAAAAATGGTATATAGCCTCAAGTCATCTTATTCACTGTGATTTCTTTAAAATTACTTATAGTTTCGAACAAACATTTGATGCTATTATTACCTGTCATCACTTCGACACGCTGACCGTCGATGATCTGAATCTTTTTCTGTCTACCGATCTTAAGGGCTTGCTGTTTTTCTTGTAGGGATGATTCGGGATCGTGAACAGCCATATGTCGGATAAGGTTTCCTTTATGTCTGCATGCAACAACAGAAAGTTTCATTTTTTTTATCGGAAAAAATCATGGTGATAGTGAAAGTTTATCGTGCGTAGCTGTTTCAAATAATTGATCTCGTGTATATACCTAAACGCTCTTATGCATTCGGGACATTGATGCGTTTTCTCCTGCGGCGGTGGAGGAACGTAGGTGGGATTATGATAGAGATTGCAATGCCGTTTGAGTAACTGCTTCTGCCTGAATGACTGAAAGCAGTGATCACATTGGTACGGTTTCTGGTCGGTATGAATGAGAACGTGACTTTCCAAATGACGCGCCGATATCGATGCATACGGACAGAGATCGCACTTGTAGCACTTCTCCCCTTCGTGAGTTTTGCTGTGCAATTTATAGCTATATCTGTAATATAATTAATATATATATATGAGGAAATGTAAGTTTAGGATGCAAACACACTTGTAATTTTTATATCAAATTCATACTCGACCATTTGTACGCGATCACTGATTACAGTGATACACAATAATTTATTGCGTGTTTAAAGAAATTATTTGTATACCTATCTGGGAATGTTTTTCCGCAACGCTTGCACTTCAGAGGTTTGTCAGAGGTGTGCAGCTTTTGCACGTGAATTCTGAGATCCGTTTTTCTCCCACATGTGGCTGGACATAATTCACATTGAAATACTGGTTTATCGCCTACTGAAACATATATTGAGACTATATGAAGCTCGAGTACAGTGAAAAATTATATTGCGCTTACGCGTTGCCGTGAAGTTTTGCGTTAAACTAAAGAAACCGGCTATCGAAACACGTGAAATGCTGGCTTAGATATGAGATCGGTCCTAAAGCTATCTCCGGCAGCCATATTGGTTTTATGACGTCAGAGGCGAGAAAATGACAAATGGTAAATATTTTGCAACATATAGCTTTATTTTTTAATTTTCCCTGAACAACAATAGTTTCATAATCCTGAAATCTGTAAAATATGCTACAAATTGAGATGACTCTCCGATATATCACGTAAAATCGCAAAATAATCCCTGAAACAACAGAACATTTTTCAACCATTTTCAGGCAACCGTGACAGCTGAAAATAGCTGAAAGATATGCCGTTAGATAGGAATTACCTTGCGATTTTACGCGATATATTGGACAGACATCTCCGTTTGCCGCATATTTTACAGGTTTTAAGGTTACGAAAATATTATGTTTCTTTTTTAAGAAACATTAAAAAACAAGCTATATGTCGCACAAAATTTATCGTATGCCATTTTTTGTCTCTGACTATAAATCCAATATGGCTGCTAGAGATAGCCGAGCTTTTAAATGTTTTAAACTTTTCCTCGTTATTATACATATGAAAATTATCTAATTAATAATAACTTACCATTATGTATTAATTTATGCGCTTTCAAGCTGTTGGACTGAGTAAATCTCGCCGGGCAAAGATCACACTCGTACGGTTTCTCCCCGGTATGAATGCGAAGGTGACGTTTCAATTTAAACGTATCTGGACTCGCGTATGTACAGTGTGGACACTGGAAAAATAAACGTTGCATTCTAGTATTAGTAAGTGACACAGTGAATTTATACATTGCTTAAAAAGTACAATCTATAAAAATTCGACTCTGATATATATTGAATACCCTTTCTTTTTTTATATATGGGAAGAAAATATTACTGACGATACTTGAAGAATAATAATTATTTGAGAGAGAGAACATCGCACAAGAATTTATGAATCGAACGACGTAGTACGATAAGAAACTTATTTTGTAATCGTATAAAATAAACCTCGTATGGACGTTCACCAGTATGTGTGCGTATGTGATTACGTAATTTATTCTTCTCCACGCTTGCATAATCGCACATAGTACACTTATATGGCTTTTCATGTGTATGTTTATAACGTGTGTGACGCACCAACTCACCTAATGACAAAAAAAAAAGGGAGAAAACAAGGTAAAATATACCTGATAAGGTCTCTCTCCTGTATGACATCTAATATGTCTCTTGAGTTTCGACAGCTCGACCGACGCATAATCGCACTCGTGACATTTGTGCGGTTTTTCATGGGTGTGTCTGTACCGAACATGTCTTACAAGTTCACCTGTAAGCAAACATTTTTCATCATTCCTGTTTTTGCAAGCAATAAGATTAATCTGATTAAATGATGGATTCCTAACATAACAGTTTGGAAAATAATACAAAAATATTTAAATCTACATGTGTGTATTCAATATTTATACATAAAGAAAGTAATTGAGCAATTAAATATAAAAATATGTGCCATATATTTTTTTATATTTCCTATGTTGGTGTTGATCTATCAAGCATGATAAATCTTTTTATGCATGCCCGTTATAATATATAAGATACGTAACAAATTTCTGTGTTGATATTAATATTATTTTAATGCATAAGATATAATGTTACTTAATGCTAATATCATACGTATATTTTGAAGTATTTTTTTGTTGTTACGCATAATATTATTATTCATTACATAATATTTTCTTTATATAATGAGATAACTGCAAGAAATATATAAGTTGATAAGGATTGTGACACTCATAAGCATTATTATATCTAGCGGTGCATGACAAAAATTTAAGTGTAAGAAAAAATGCATAAAACGTAGAAAATAAAGTATATAAAACATATAATACAAGGAAAGTAAATTATAAAATATATAAATAAAAGACAATAATTAAGGGAAACAAAACTTCTCAACATGTCGGTACATACAACACATGCAGTTACACAAATGACAAGACAGACGCAAAAAAATTAAATGTTCAATTTAATGTGTGAGAGATATCAAAAGAATTTCGATTAGAATATTTTATATTACTTTTAATATATATACCACGACGATAATTCGTATCCGAAATCTTTTGAATTGGAACTTATACAGAAAAGAACACAAATTGTACATAAGGTGCAGTTCAATGCATATGAAATATAAGAAAGAGTAATTAGCAATTAATAACTCACCAGAGGTTGTGAATGCACTGTCACAGTATTTACAATGATGGGGTTTGGTCCCAGTATGAGTGTTGACATGATTCTGTAGCGAAGCCAAGGTTTTAAATCCCCTCTCACAAACGCTACATTTGTGCGGTCGCTCTTCCGAGTGTGACTTCATATGCCGCGAGAGAAGGTACCTGTCACACACATACACACGTTGTTTATAAATCACTTTCCTTATTTTTGCGCTATTATCGTTCTAAATTTAAACGTGCAGATGTTCGTAAAAAGTTCGAAAGAAAATTTAGGTCGTGACATGTAATGCATAATATTGAAAAACATTGAGAACTATACCGTTTTGGACTCGTGTAGTTGCAATAATTGCACATATGCGCCTGTGTGACCGTTTGAGATTTCTTTGGCAGGAATTTCATAACTTTAGCTTTATCATCCTCAGCTTCAGATTCCACCGGCACCTCATTGTCTTCATTGTCTTCGAAGTCGTATACAGTGAGGTCCTGTTCGCCCTCTGCTTCCTCCCCATCCGCCGCTTCACTCTCTACCGGTCTAACTTCTTTTTCTTCAGTTTCAGGTTGCTGAACTATCAGGACATAACTGACTTCCCCAGGATTTGTGTCGGATGGTACAATCGTGACAGTTTGATATGCATCGCCAGAATTGATCACAACTTGATTGTTTTCATTGTTGGACGTCTGCGTCTGGAAATTAATATTTTCCGATGCTTGAGACGCACTTTAGTACATTTTGAAGGTATGGCCGCTGCTGAAGGAAAGTCTCAGCGTTAACTCACCTCCTCTTCCCCCTCGACGTTCTCGAGTTCCTCGATCTCGTGATACTGTTCATCTTGAGCCACATCGCCTTCATTTTGCACATCTGTTTCCTCTACTTCCTGTATTTGCACTTGTGTCATCACAGGTGTTTCATCGCTATTAGCCTGGTAGTAATACTGCCCAGACTGATCTACAAAGTATGTCCCTCCTTCTTCTCCGCCGGACAATCCCTCCACTTGTTGCACTGTAAAAAAGATACACGAATAAAGTGTCGCTCAATACAAATCATATCATTGCCATGACACGCAAGTACTAGCAACTCGGAAATACAAACACTGCACATGTTGCAGTTGCTCTCCCTGTCCACCTTCTATCTCTTTATTGAAGGTCTCCAAATAAGTTTGTATCTCCGTGACCGACTCTTGCCCCTCTTCTAATTTTATAGTCGCTACATTAGTCGTCATGATTGAAGCGCTCACCTCATACAGCGATGCTTGTATTCATGAATCTGTAACAATACAAGTAACACATGTGATCGATGTATAACTTGGAAATCTATTTTTAGACTGTTGCTATAAATATAAATCAACGCGTGTAACTTAGGATCAACAACGCTAAAAATAAATATAAAATTGGCAATGCCACCGTATGGGGGATGTAACGCGCGTTTATCTCGCTCAAATGTATCGTCATTCCGATACTACTCGGAAGATGCGACTTGTAAGACGAAACCTGTCGCGGAACCGCAGCGCGGCAGGTTCCTCGCGATGCAACGGGTTACACAGGGAAGAACAACCCAGCCTTCGAGCTTTCTACCTTTCATTCGCCGGTGATTGCAAAAGCCTGCGCGCGTGAACGCCGCGAGTTTTACATCGCGGCACGAGCGCGCCTAGAAAAGAAATCGTTCCGAGCGAGTTCGAGAGCATGTTCACGCATGCCGCTCTTCTCACGCCTCCCCAGGACACGCTTCGCTCGTTGTCCGCCCTTGTTATCGTCGCACACCCACGCACGAGAGAGCAGTCGCGAGACGCGATCTCGTCGACGGCGAAGTACATCGGGTCTCCCGGAATTAAAGGGAAAAAATCAATAACGCGGCCGATTACGGCGGGTAAGAGACTCGCGTCGCGGCACGGCGTTTGCGGATCGAGTGAGCGACGGCGAGGAGCATCCCGGTGGCCGGCCGGGTCGCCGGGACGCGCGCTCGGCGTCCCTCGGGGCGCGCGCGCGCGTCAATCAGGTGCGTGCGATCGTCAGAGGAGCGCGACGATCACGGACGACGACGTGGTGCGCGCCGCGGCAGTGACGCGAAGCGGGGCGCTGGGAGACGACGGCGACGGCGGCCAGCCGCGACGAGAGACGCCATGAAGCACGAGGCGTGCGCGTCAGCGGCAGGCGAGGCGAGGCGAGACAAAGCGAGAGGTCAGGGCGAGGTGGTGTCGAAAGTGCGTGGAGACAACGGGGGCGGGTACCTGGGGGGCACCGTAATCGCGGACTCTCGTGGTACACGGCGGGGGCCCTCGAGGTTGCGCATTCTGTCGGGGAGCTTTTAAGACAACGCGGGTGCTTTCGATTTCAGGACACAGGGGGCATTAACGACAAAAATTTCAGAAAATTATCACCGTCGGCGCTGTCATCAATATGGAGGACAGGAGCGACGACGATGCCGTGCTATTCCGCCGCGTGCTGTTCGCTCGCGACCGATCGGCCCCTGGGCCGTCCCGGGCGGTTCGGCCGGCGAGCCGACGCGAAAAACTCAACGTTCCTTACCGTAAGGATGAAATGCGCGTGCGACACGTCTCCACCAGCCTAATGCCGAAGGTCTAAATATTCACTTACCTGGAATAAACCCACGTTCGTTCGCGTGAGGGCGTTGTGTAAGAGCCAATATGGCCGATCGAACTGCGACGGTTCAAATGCTGCGCTGTGTTGCGCGTCGCAGCTGCGCACTGGCGCGCGCGTCACCCGCGTGAGTGTGTGTGCGTGTCTGTTTACGCTGCGCGTGATAGCCGTTTCTGGTATTTCCGGGTCCCAAGTCCCGGACCGACGCCACTTACTCCCGGTGAATCATGCCCTTGCAGCTTTCTTATTTGGAAATTGGACTGCGTATATATATATATATATATATATACATATATATATATGCACGTAAATGCACGTTCCGTATGCGAGATAAATCGACGCGGTATCGCGACGAAGCGATGCTAAGCGATTTGATTTGCGAACGAGTACGTGCATACAGGATGTGGATTGGAAAAAAATGACGTCATACGAAAAGGGCGGGAAATGCAGGGTCGTATGAAAGCGAGCGAGAAGGGTGCGGTTTGCCGTGCAGCGTGTCAAAGATAAATTGTCACGATCATCGACGAATGTAAATTATAGTTGTTTTATGATTTTAATTTGCACACGTGTTATCGGCGAAATTAATGAATAAATAAGTACACATATATATTATTTCCATGTAGAGAAAGGAAGGACCAGGAAATGACAAAAGGTAGATGAAACAATTTCTTATGCTTATTAAATGAATCATGCTGCTATATTTAAAATTTTTATTTTATGAATCCTTGCATCTTTCTAAAATAATTTTTCCTTCAATTGTACACAGCAAATACTCTTATGTGACTGTGTTATGTATATTTTTTTCCCTTTCTCAATTACGCATCAATAGTTATAATGCAATGTAACAAGCTATGCCAATTATTAAGTACAACTATGTTAAAAGTAAAATTGTTGAAGGTATATACAAAATCTTTCTGCCTATACATACACTCGTGCGCGCCCACACACTAATTTGCATACAATTTTAATACAATCAGGACAGTTCATAGAATATATGTATAAAAGCTTACAAAAATAGTAGTTTTAATGTTAATCTTACGGTATTATAAATTTAATAGATTAATGCACCTTTTTCTATATATTGTGTGTGTTTACAGGACACCACATGGTAACTTATATAGGAGAATAACAGTAATGCGTGTGTACATATTTGAACAATTACATAATAAAATATAAAATTAATCACAATAATACTTATTTACAGATCATTACAGAGAAAAAAAATGCTTATAATCGCATATCGGATGTGTAAAATATAAAATTCCCATAAAAATTTTTGTTCAAAATTTGTTTACATATTATGTGTGGTTACAAACAAATCTTCTAAATACTGCGGCAGTGCTCTTGGTACATTGTTTCTTTAATATCATCGTGCAAACGATCTATTGATTCTTTGATATCGCTTTTTAAAGTGTAAAGTATCACTAATGTGATTACAATTATTGTTACCATACAAATAAGAAATATATACTTTAATGCCTCGATATTAGTGTGCAGCTTCTTATAAATATCTTCTAAATGATCCATCTGAAATCGTCCATGCAAAATCAATGTTAAGATTTATCTTTATATATATATATTATGTCAATACACGTAAAAGTATTCGTTTAAATATTGATAAAAGAATATTGATTTTCTCGTACCTTAGAGAAAAATGCATCAATATTCCGATCAGTTCCCGCTGCATTAGATGTTAATATTGACTGGGATTTCTGCGTTTCATTATTTTCAGTACCATCGCAACACTTCAGTTTATGTTGTTCCGTTGGTTTTCCAGACTACAAAGAAAGAACGTATAATGTCAGCACCTTGTCGATCTTATTTATAAACATACAAGAAAAAATGAAAAGGACTGATATATTTGTACCTAATATGAAAGGATAAAAACTAACTTACTTTCCACAGTGTATGCAGATCTTGCGCTGCGATATCTGCGTTCTTTACAGGAAGGCACATGACTAGAAATCGATCATTGTGCAACAGACCACGCACATCATAGCCAGGCTGCAATACGACCGCAATGCTTTTCTGCTCAGATGGTTGCAGAATCCCTGAGCTTGGTCGTACTCTGAACTTTTCGGGAGACGTCGTCTTTATCTATAAGTTAAATGTTATATTTGTGTTATGACCTACAAGTATATGTATTTCTTCTAATATGTGCTAATATGTTTTCCAAGTTGAGTTTACTTTGATACTTATAAAATAGCTGTGATATATAAAATAAAGTAACATGACATATACCTTATAAGACAAAATCTTGTCAGTTGTGATATTCTTAAGTATAATCACTCCAGTGATTTCTTTTCCATCTTTATTAAATGTAATCGCATCAGGTTCTACGGATAATACTAGAACAAAGACAATGTATTTAATATTTTGTACTACATATTACGAAGAATATATAGTATTATTTATTTCTATGAGTATATAATTCTATTATGAATTTCTTTATACTTACATTGTTCTTCATTGGTTTGGTCTGCAAAACTTGCTGGACTTTGTTCTGTAAGTGGTGAACCTTCCGCAAAGTGTACCTAGAAAATATATTAATTAAGAAAATAAGCGAGGTGATTTTCTGACAAATATCAATAGCTCGATATACCTCTTGAATGTACTTCATATCGCCTGATCTTTTGTACGAATTAGTATATTTTGGAGAAATGTTACACATAAGAAACAAACCAAGGAGGTTAAGTCTTTCGTTCTTAATTTACTCGTTAAAAAAATACAAGAGAATGGACAAAAGAGGAAGATAGAAAAATCATAATGAAGTTAATCTATTATATGTATAAACAGAAGAATGTAGTAATATTATTTTGTCTTTCATAGTAACGGTTACATGCAAACCTTTAGTCACGATATATTACATAATATGTATACCTTTTTATTATCCAATTTACCATTCAATGCATCTTCATTGGTTTGTACTTCTGGGACAAATACGAAGGTATAATCGTTATTACCACCCCAACATTTAAGAGCGTCATTGGGATCAACAAACTCTTTCAAAGTGATCTTGTTGACAAACTTAATTTTTGGAATTGCTTTGGCGGGTAACCATGATTTTATGATTTTGAAAGCTGCATTTAAGACCCATGGCATCTCGAAGATTATGATATAGTTAAGGAAATATGGGTAATAAGACTTGAACAAGCCAATGAGATATTTGGTGAACTCCATATCCAAATTAGAGAGTCCGGTTTCTGCCATATCGAAAAAGATTGAAATTTGATTTCCATTACCTTCTCTAAAAATACAATAAAATATAAATTCAATAGAATTGAATAGAATATGAACTTATCACCAATATATTAGTTGCATTTGCATACTTGTTGTCTTTGCATAAAGTTAAACAAATGTATATACTATACCTTTCTAATCTCTCAAACCAATAAACTATACATCTTTGAAGCTCTGTGAAGTCTTTGGCTCCCTTAAAGTGCAACTTTGACTTGATTATGATAAGTTTCTTGCCATCTTTATCTTTACCATGGCTAAAGAAGGATCCATCTTCTAAATATTCTCTCTTTACATTATCTTCATTGATATCTATATAATCAGATAACATTAGAACAGAGATGCTCCTTATATTCTCTTACTTTATTAATATCAGATTATTATACAGATTGATGTAAACACACACTACTTAGAATATTTTCTATCAATTTTATATAAAAAAATAATCACAGCAAAGCAGAATACCTGATAAATATTTACGCGATAGAGACTAAGTCAAACAAGATAATTTTACCGTTCGCGCCAATTTTTCTCCTCCAAATACAAGTTTCCCACAGCATATTAAATGCTTCTTGCATGTTGTATTCATGATGTTCCAAGAATCTCTTCAACCAGTCATCGGTGTTTATTCTAGCTATATCCGCAGGATGAAAACCTTCTGCAAAAGAAACATAATGATGATCATGTGATGTTATGCAAATCACAAGGACAAACAGTGACGTGTATGTTGCAACGTTTACATCTACATTTCGCAATTTGGCAAACAATTAACGTGATGAAACTCAATCCATCCAGTTCTTTATTATGCCAATTACAGCACCAATTGTTTTCAATTGAATACGCGACGGACTAGTTAACGATGACCTTTGCACACATACGCATACACACACATACGTTACATCGTTACGACACGTATTACGACAATTTTTAACGTAATAAAGCGCTATATGATGCGATATGACAGATCATTCTTGGGACTTGAAAAAATAGAATACCGCATATACCCACTGAGATCAGGCGGACCCTCGTCGCTTAATTTCTTAAGAAACTTCTCGCGAAGTTCCGTGATCGCCTTCGTCTGCGCTTCCATCATCGAGCTGCGATGGAACTGAGAGACTCTTCGCTTCAATAATACTTCCTCAGCGAGTCCAAACTCCGAACACACTTTGACCGGCGTGAAGAACCCAGCACGATAACAAAATGATAATTGTTTATCCGCACGCTGGATCGGTGCGCGCCACGCCGCGCATGCCGTTCGTAATTCTCCTCTAGTAACGTTTCCGACTGACTTTCGAGAGCGCCACGGACAATTAAACCCGATTAAACTCAATTTTCATCATGCGCATGTATAAACCCTGCAAGTGCGTTTGGATCTGCATTAATTTAAATTATTAATTATAATATGACAACGCATATATCAACCTTGATTTGTACTTTGTAATGTAAAAACTGATTCTACTCAAGAAACCTATTTGGAGTCAAAGTTCAGTTCATAACTATTCGATTGAGTTGAACAGTCTCGTTAGCAATTCGATTTCTCTTCAGTTGAAAATATTATTGGCACAATCCATTCTTATAGATATTTTTCAATATTTTTCGTATTAATAATCAAACATTTCTCATGTGTTTTGTACGTATTTATAAATTATATTCCCCCGAATAAAAATTGTTACATTATTTAGATTGTATACAGAATTATTACATTATTTAGATTGTATACAAAAAAGTATTTTATACAATTTAAGGTCTTTAATTTTTAAATATATTTTTGAATATGTATAGTTTATTTATGCTTCTGGAAGAGCAGCGTGCTCATTGGAAAATCGCGCGTCGCATATTGCGTCGTGCATCGTGCTGATCTGCGAGAGCCATAACAAGACAAATGATGTGAACATTCTCAATATCGCTTATATTGTAAACGTGGTGATAACGGTGCTCTGTTAGGAAAATCTATAATCACGCGTGATAAATGAATGATGTGAACATTCTCAATATTGCTTGTATTGTAAACGCGTTAATAACAGTGCTCTGTTAGGAAAAATTTGTAATCACACGTGTTTATGATAAAATTCCTATTCAGAACTACTAATAAATTTACTCGTCAGCGCTTTAAAGACCGCATTCGGCAGAAAAAGCAACTCAGTGAGCGCTCAGTTTATTGTCTGTGACTGTAGTATTTTTTAGATTCTTGATGGATCCAGAAGTATATGCTAATCAAGAGCGATAATCAATGAGCGCTCTTTGAAACTGCTCTTTCTACTAAATCTATATATGTAACGTTACCGATTAAGATTAAAGTTAGATTGACATTTGACCAGTCAGAGCAACGTTCACTAAACTTAAGATGCTATACGGCTCATTTCATTGGCTATGAAGCATCTGAAGATTAATCTGAAATTTAAATATTTTGTTTCCAAACAACGTATTCTCCTATTGGATATCGGACGCAGTGTGAATCCTCCATTAGCTTCGGGAGCCAACACTAGTAAATTTTTGCCATTCACAGTTAATGTCTGGTGATTTTGTCTTGGCGACGTTGGTGGTTACGGTTCTTTCGATACGTGCGCTAGCTTCGTGAAAGGTACGTGGAGATCTCAGATCCTAAGATTTTATTGCAATCTGCTTGAAGTCAAATAAATTTGGGTGATATTATTATTGCAACAACTTAGTTGGATCTACGATTTGTTGTATTGTACGAAATTATCGCGTTTTTTCAAATTTACCATTCTATAAACGACATAACCTGAAAGATGTGATTATTTGCAGGATGGCTCCGAAGTACGAGCTGGCCGTTGGCCTCAACAAGGGCCACAAAACGACGAAAATTCGAGTGGCGAAAAGCAAGTCCGAGAAGGAGAAGACCGTGTGTCTTCGACCGTCTAGATTAAAGGGGGTTAGTATTCATGTACATTCCATATGACTCTTCATTGTTGTTGTGCAGTAACCTCCCCCATTCCATCAATTTCAGTTAATCTAATCGACCGATTAATTCAACGGATTTGACCAATCATATAAATCAGTTAGCTAATTTGACAATGCGATTAGTCAATTCCGTTGAGTTAATCGATCGGTCAGGTTAACCAAAGTTGATGAAATCGGGAGTAAATGAGGTCTGTTTGTTTCAGCTGAACTACTGCTGCACTAGAATTTTTTTTCTTTTTTCTTCAACGTTAAATTATATACTTGTCTTACTTTTAAGGCAAAATGTGTAATCTGACTGACTAAGACGAACAAACCTGTGGTCTTTTTGGTTGAATTGGTTACATTAGTTTAAAAAATTGTACATACACATTGTATCTGTTTTCTATTCCTGCATTAATTTGCATTAGTTCTCTCTTTTCTTCTCTTTCCTACCAAATCGCAAGAAAGAGAAAAAAAAATGATTAGTGGAAGTTAGTGTGATCAAAGCATGAATGGAAAACAGATCCATTGAAGCATATAAAGATTACATATAAGATTTTCATATTTCAGTGTGTAAATTTCTTGAACTAATGCCAGTTTAGCTGAAAAGGACAGACCAAGTATCTTTTTGATTAGTTTATTGTTTTCGTGATAAATGGTTCATAGAATACTTCAATATTCTTTTATTCTTGTACACGATAATTCATCTTGAATTTTTTATCGCAGAAACAAACCAAACACAGCAAGTTCGTGAGAGACTTGATCCGTGAAGTCACAGGACATGCTCCATATGAGAAACGTACGATGGAGTTGTTGAAGGTGTCCAAGGACAAGCGTGCTCTGAAATTCTTAAAGAGGAGGGTAAGTGTTAAAAATTAACATGCCTTATTGTCTTACATAATTATTAAGCTATTAATGAAACTGTAACTGTTTTATATAATTTTATAGTGTAATATTAATACGGTAAATTTATTTTTTTCTAGCTGGGCACACACATCCGTGCTAAGAGGAAGCGAGAAGAACTTGGAAATATCCTGGTACAGATGAGGAAAGCTGCTCATCACTAAGTCCTTTGTCTATAAATTAATACATTTTTAATAAATGGATATAAGTTATATAAAACTCACATGTAAGTTTCATTCTTGAAACCTATATTCTTATGTCCTGTGTATTATTTAAGTAAATCAATAAGATTTGAAAATGTCTATTGAGAGTATAAATTAGTTCGGTCCGTTTTTTTTATGGTCAAAAATGCATTTATTTCAGAACAAAATGAATGAACAGATTAATCAAAATATTGTCCATCACTGGCTACTATTTTTTCCTACCTCCCAGGCAATTTTCGAATTCCATCTCGGAAAAATGTCTCATCTTTTGAGGCGATCCAAGTTAGGAGCCAATTTTCAATTTCTGCGAAAGAAGTGAACTGGTGACCTGCCAAATCGTGCTGCATCCGTCGGAATAACCAGTAATCAGAAGGAGCAATGTCCGGCGAATACAGCGGGTGCGGTAAAACATCCCACTTGAGTGTTTCCAAATAATTTTTTGCGACATGAAGCCGAGCGTTATCATGCAGAAGAATAACTTTGTCATGTCTTTGCTTGTATTCCGGCCGTTTTTCTCGTAATGCACGGTTCAAACGAATCAATTGTAGCCTATACCGAAGCTCCTCTTGCGTTTGATTCGGATCTTCATCGAGTAATGCCTCCAATTCTTTGTCTTCGAATTTTTTTGGCTGTCCAGAGCGAGATTTGTTTTCAACGCTGAAATCACCATTCTTGAAACGTCGAAACCATTCCCTACATGATTTATCAGTTGGAGCATTGTCACCATAAACTTCTACAAGCGTTCGATGCGCTTCAGCTGCACTTTTCTTCCAATTAAAGCAGAAAACTAAAACCTCCCGTAAATGCTGCTTAGTTAACACAAAATTTGACATATTCAACACAGTAAAAAACAGGGGTTTTGTATGAAACTCTAAGCGATATAAACTGAATATTATTGACAGATGTCTAACCTCTCTGAAACCACCGAAATCAGCTGTCACAATGAAACATTCATAACAACCAGAGGCATCTTTTGAAAACGGACCAAATTAATTTGTATTCCCAATATAACGGATAGAATCTTATAGATATTATAGATACATTCATACAGGGTTTGTCCGGAAAGTAATGTCAGTGATTTTTTTTTACGCGACTGATCGTCAGAGCGCGCTCGGATCGGTTGGGAATGGTAGAGGGGGAAGTCAGCTAACGAATTTTGAGTCACTCAGTATTCTCCCGCCCCAGCCGCATAGTAAGGACATGCGTTTCCGTGGAAGTCGTTTTGTGACCTCGTGCAAGTAAAAATGCAACGCTCGTTAGAACAAAGGATGGCGATCAAGTTTTACGTTAAACTTGGCAAGACCGCGGCGGAAACTCTCCCAATGATCAAGACAGCTTTTAAAGAAGATGCTCTGTCGGATCGGCAAGTGTTCCGGTGGCACAAGGTTTTTTCGGAAGGCCGGGAAGAGGTCGACGACGAAGCCCGCGCTGGACGGCCATCGACGAGCACCACGGACGACAATGTGACGCGAGTGAAAGAACTTTTGAACACAGACCAACGATTGAATGTCCGTTTACTGTCACAGTTATTAGACATTCCGAAAACTATCGTTCATGAGATCATTAGGAACAATTTGAACATGCGGAAGGTGTGCGCAAAGATAGTCCCAAAAGTGCTCACCGACGACCAAAAATTGCGCCGCGTTGAAACGTGCCAAGAAAATCTGGACATGTGCGAAAGTGATCCCGAGTTTTTGAACAACGTCATTACCGGTGACGATTCTTGGGTATTTGAGTACGACCCGGAGACGAAAAGACAATCATCAGAGCGGCACACGTCGTCGTCCCCTCCCCCCAAGAAAGCCAGGATGAGCAGATCCAAAATCAAGACGATGCTCATTGTGTTTTTTGATATCAAAGGACTGGTCCATCACGAGTTTATACCGCCTGGTACAACTGTGAACGCTAAATTTTATGTCGAAGTGCTGAAGAGACTGAAACGCAGGGTTCAACGCGTCCGGTCGGACATCGCAAAGGACTGGAAGTTGCATCACGACAATGCGCCGGCCCACAGCTCCTTCCTCGTCACCAACTACCTGGCCAAAGCAAGAGTGCCAACGATTCCCCAGCCTCCGTACAGTCCGGACGTTGCTCCCCCCGACTTCTTTCTGTTTCCACGCCTGAAAGGACCCATGAAAAGAAAGCATTTCGAAACCATTGAGGGGATCCAAGCAGCTTGCACCGCGGCTTTAAAGGACATTCCGGAGGAGGCCTACCGTAGCGCATTCGATGCCTGGAAAACTCGCTGGAAGCTATGTGTCAACGCAGGAGGAGCCTATTTTGAAGAATTTTGATGTGTTGTAACGAAAAGTTCAATAAATTTTTTTTAATCAACTCAATGACATTACTTTCTGGACAGACCCTATATAGATATTATTATTAGATATTATAGATAGAATCTATAATAGAAAATTACAGGAGAATTGGAAGGACCGTCAGAAATTCAAAACCATTGGTGCTTTGAATATTTTTGCAAAATAAAAACATTTGATTAAAGAGTAGGTGAAATGAGTAAAGTTGGTATTTACAGGTGTTTGAAATAGTGTTCTTTGATATATCAATACATGTTAATTTTTTCTTTTCATTTAGAAGATATTAAAGATGGTCTCTTAGAAACCGGAGAAAAGAGAAGAGGCTCGCTTAAAAAGAAGCGGCGAAAAAATATAAAACATGAAGGGAAATTATAATTATAAATAGAAATATATTAAAGAACATTTTATTTATATGCAAGACGAGAAGAGGATAAACTAAATCAATCAGTCATTGCAACAGTATGATAATCTTGGCTGTGTTCGATTAAAATGTCTGCATAAATATAAGAAAAGAAATATAAAACAATTTTTCTTCTCAATAATGCTCACTAGGATGTATGTATGTTGAGATGTGATCAACGAAAGATTCTTTTGTATGATAGTTTTATTCTCTATGTAATTAAAAATGAGTAATATACAAATAATTAAAATACATTAAATTAAAATATCACTTGTAGATATAAACTCATTTTTTTTACATATTTCCTTAATTGTCTCTCATTTACTTATATCAATATATATATATTTATATCAGTCCGATGAGAAAGCAATTTATACTGTGCTTTCGTTATTTCTCTCCTGAACTCATTACAACATTTTTATTTACAATCGTACAGTTCTAGAAAATATTCTCCTCACGTGTATTCACATGTGTGTCCGCAGCCGGTTGGACACTGTCGATTGCTATTAAACCATTCGCTCATGTGATTTATATGACCTCCGTGTGTGCACCCTTGACACCATGCGTATATACCACGTACCACCTGTATATAAAAAAATACAATAAAATGATCTTATGTGATCTGTAAATATACACAATATGAAATTTATACATAAGTGAGAAAATCCCAAAGATGGAAACTCAATGTTCAATAAGATACCATACCTGATGACAGACGGAACAGACAGCATGCTCGGATGTGTGACAACGATCGCACAACCACGCGGACCGTTGCAACGGCTTTGTGCACGCTAAACAGCACGTGTGTATTAGAGTTGATTGTTGATTCAGTTGCGATATGGAAGGAATCCATGCTAATTGTATTATCTGCGAACAAATCCCTCCATAACTTACTATTTAGAAATAGCAGTCTCCATTCAAGTATCTCGCATTGAACAATAATAAAACTGGAATTTCCTTTTGTGAAACGTAAGTGTCGATCTACAATAGATATTTTAAGTCTTAAGCTTTAAGAAATTGACCAATCACGAATGTGAAGAGAATAATTAACGGTGATTAGTTAATTTCTTAAAGCTTAAGGCTTAAAATATTTATTGTGGACCGACGCTAATGTGAGAGAGAAAGAGACATGTTATCTATCAAAACATAATATTAAATATCTGTCGCAAACGAACCTGGGTGGCTACATGCCATAGCTTGTACTTGCAGAGCATGTCCAAATATTCCATTAACCAATGTTCCTGTGTAGCTATTTCAATGTTCAAGTCTTTCCTCTTTTCCCCTAAAGCAATGAGGATCGATGCCGACGTTTGCACGTCCCTTATGTCTGCGTGATGATTCAATGCTTCCACGATCAAACGTGTGGGGTCCCAAGGCAAAGGCTTAGGTATAGCCGACACTACTAGCTGGAACGGTTGATCCTCGACTACAACGGAAGCCGAATCCTCATTCAGGTCAGGAGGGTGGTTGGGAAATTGCTCCGGTGGTGGAGACGGATCCTTGATTTCGTGTCGTAAAGGAAAAGCTTCCTTGGACAATGCCCAATCGTCGTCGTTGTCTATCATGTCCCGCATAAAACCACCGTTGTACTCTAGAGTTATAGGTTCAAGTTCGCTTTCCCCGAAGATGAAGTCGCCTTTCGACAGTCCCGTGTGACTGGCGAGTGGTCTCCTGTAAGTATCGACTATCTTATCACGCGATAACGAACCTTTTACGGATTAATGTCAATGTGTGTAATTATACATAATCCTGCACGTAATTGTACAATAAACAATTAAACGCAATACCGCGATGCATGCGATCGAATGATAAGATCTTTAGGAAAAATAGATATTTTAACGCAATACTTCGGCAGAACGGGATCGGCGAAATTCTGATTATCCGGCGTCTCGTCCGTCTCGGTCTCGTCGTCACCACCACTCGTAGCACCAGTTTGGTTTTCCCCTTGAAGAGACTTCACATCACTTTCATTGCCTGATGAAATTAATGATTCATGTACGGCTGGATAAAGCAGTTGCGATATATTATAATGTTGCTGACAATACCATTCGCTTACCTGCGTTTGATTGTTCCATACCAGAAACTTTTGTGATTTGCGCCAAATTCGAAGCACTGGCAATGTCTTCCTTCGGTACTGCCGGTGGCGTTTTTAAGATGGAGCCAAGGGGATTCGCATATAAAGTCTTGATAATATTCCACACTCTACTGAGCTATGTAATTAAGATACCAAGTTAACATAATTTCACACATATAAGTATATACATATATATATAATAAATAATAAATATCTTACGTCATGCCTGTCATTGTTGCTTGCGACGGTCGCATTGTGATCACAGATTTCGTCCAACCTTCCGGAAAGCAGATAACCTTCCGCGAATGTCTTGAACCACATCGGCTTATGCGACGAATTCACATATCTATGCATTATGCTCGACGCCATGCAAAAGGTATCATTTGTCGTAGATGTTTTCCTGCAATACATTCGAGATGCAATAATTTCAAGAGTATTCTCATAAGCTCGCTCAATCGCCATCGTATCATGACCTTTTTATACGATACCGATATTCTCTCACCTCATTATGTTACTTAACTGTTTTGCAGGAGTTGTCACGTTCACGTTCATCTTGCAAGCGTACACAATGTCGTCATTCGGATTCAACGCGATACCCTGCGGATTCGCTTTACTGGCCGGCCTCGTCGCGTCTTCAAATATATGGTGATACAACGTGCAATCCTGCGAACAGTGACAACACGAAGGTGAAACACAATTATATATTAATCGTGATATAAAAGAAAAAACCGGTTGACATTATTACTCTGCTAGTAGACAAAAAAGATTGCGGGCTGCCTCTCCATGCTACACCCGTGGGGATGTCCTTGTGCTCGTTAAAACTCGCAAACGGGATATATGGTCTCCGTATGTCCCATACATTTATACTACAATCGACCACTAGAGCACAACTAGATATATGATACTTCTTTTGCGGCCTCCATTTTATGCGTCCCACCGATGCAATTGTGTGTATAGTGTAGTCACAACTTGGTTTAGCCGATAAATCCCAAACCTGCAAAATTCCAAAGATATCTACATGTAACTGAAGTTAGAAAAAGATATACGTAAAATTAAAATTAAAACCAAAGTAAATAAAAGTAAAATTAAAAACAAAAATACTTTAATTGTTTTGTCCCTAGATGCCGTAGCGAGCCAGATAGATTCAGGATGCCAATCGCAAGCGAATATCGGGCCACTGTGTGCGGTAAAATGTTGGAAATAACGATCAGGTCTTCTCATGTCCCACTGTTGCACGTGACCATTCTCAGAAACTGCTGCAAACATATGTAATTGGTGTGGACAAAACTGAACATCCCTCACGGATTCTGTATTACTAGAAGCAAAAATATAGAAATATATAATAAAAAAGAAATGCATTAATATACAAAAGAATAATATTAATTATGAATTTTCTTATTAGTGGAGATTGCTTCAAGCTCATATATTTAATCAGAGCTTCCTCATTGCCTTTCTGTGCTAATTGCATCCTTTGAAACAATGCATTGAAACAAATACCACTAATAATTAAGTAGATTAAGTATATTATATATACTAACACATAGCTTAATCATTGTAATACAAAGCTTAGTCATTGTAATATATAGCATAGTCCACATGACTTATTCTTACCTGAGAAAAGTTTTAACAGCTTCTTTTGTCCGTAAGTCAAAACATTTCATAGTACCATCTTGAGAACCAGATATCAACCACATAGGTTCTGTTGTATGAAAACTCACTTTATTCACAGTTCTTTTATGATCCATAAATACATGCTCTTGTTTTGACCGGGATGGCCTATTTAAATTCCACACAACTACTGCACCGTTTGTAGCAGCTGTTGCCAGAATATGATCTATAAATTGACATAACGTTGTAATATAAGATAATCTAACATGAATTAAACTACCATATAGTTCAATAATATTTAGATATAATTATCTATAGCTTATTTGAAACAAACCTGTTCATCTATAGATATGGCATATAGATTTGTTTAATCACATCTTATATTAAGAAGCTATATATTTGTGACTTAATAATAATTATTTAATTGTAATAAATTATTAGATTACCATCAATAAGATTCCAGGCAACATCATTACAGGAAAAATTAAGATTTAAATTTTTGCCAACTCGAAGATTGCAAGTTTCCTCAAATCTATCTTCCAGTAATGTAAGTATCTTAAAAACTGCAACACAAAATCATTGAGATACATATAGTCCTTAGGTATGATAGAATAATTATAAAATACAACAAAATTATAACTCCACAGATATTACATATATAATAGCGTAGTGTTATAACTTTGTCTCTTCCAATAATAATAATAACCTATTATATGACAATTAATTACTGCGAATTAATTACTACGAATAATTACTACGAATAATACTATTATGGAAAATAACAACGAACCATTGCGACCGGCTATCACAACCTGGCTATTATCTTTATTAAGGGCTAAGGCATTCGCAGGCCCTTCTTGGGTGATGCATACAGTTTTAGACGTCATTGCATTTCCCTCAATTATACAATGTTAATTTATTATCACAATACTACCTCATAATAAAAAATAATAAACAAATTAATAAACGCACGACCCCATGCAACTCTCGACCAAACATACACTTCGTGGACTGTGCTGCCAAATTATAGGTCTGTTCGTTTTCGTTGTACCGCTGAACTAGTGGAATAAGTTGGAGTGAGAAAACATATACTTGTCTCGCTTCAACTTATTGCACTAGTTCAGCGGTGTAGCGAAAACGAACAGACCTTATGTGCACGTTCAGGGAGACACTATTAGTGCTATAAACGCGAACATTACTAAATCCCGTAACAGACTACGGATCGAGATTGAATTTGGCCAATCAGTACAAAGTTAACTGAATTCGAGTTTAGTGAACTTCGCACTGATTGGTCAAAATCTCAATCTCCAATTCGTAATCTGATACGGGCTTCAAAGCATTTATTGTAAACCGGCCGCGAGATTTCGCCATCGCTCGCCAGCCGAGGCCCGTGTCTAATTTGACAACATGGTGACCCAGGAATGTTGATGTGAGACTTCGCCGCGACGTTCGCTCAACGCCCCATGCGACGACAGAAGTGGACGATGACCCGCGCGAAATATGTCTGCTAATTCCGGCTGCGTGACCAAGAGGTAGCCTGAGCGAGCGACGAGCCGCGACGAGTCGCACGGAATCACGGTTTAGCACGGAGCGCACGGAGACGGGGTGCAGCCCTCGTGGATTACCACTGCGTCACGGATAATGTTATTGATTGATTTTTTAATGACTCACGCGTCGACAAGTACACGATCCGGCGACGTTACGAAGAGTAATATCGCGCCATTGATGAGGTACGCGTTTCTGCTGCTCCTCCTCTGCCTCCTCCTCGTTATACAGCTGACACCGTCGGTCGTCGCAGTCGATTCCCTAGGTGACCCGTACAAGATACTGGGCGTACCGAAACATGCCTCCTTGCAGGATATCCGAAAGGCATACAAGCACCTTGTTAAAGAATGGTAAGAAGCAATAGTACGTCCGTCTATCCGGTATTGAAAACGGTGTTTCTCCGGGACATGAAATATTTCGATATAAACACTGGCTCTTTTTCAGGCACCCGGATAAAACTGATCATCCAATGGCCGAGGATAAATTCGTAGAAATAACTAAAGCTTACGAGGTATGTTTCGTTCTACTTAAAACGATGTTATAGACTAGAGGCAACAATGCGAGAATACGTCAGATATCATCGTGTTGAATGATTCAGCTTCTGACAGATCCAGAAAGAAGGAGGAAGTTTGATAACTTTGGGATAACAGAGGAAGGGATCGGGAGGCAAAGAAGGGACAGTAATCATTACAATGTCCTCGATCCATTGGAAGAATTATTCTCTGGTAATTTCCAATTCCATTATCAGAAGAGAGATATCACGCTGTTCCATAAAATGAGTATCACATATCGGTACGTATCGCCTATTTTTACGAGTGATTTGTTGCGGACATCGTACTGATTATCATTGCAAATCGCAGGTCGTACGAAAATGTGATAATACCGAAAACTTACCGTATGCCGTACTTGGTTTTGTTTTATTCCGATTGGTGTTTCGCGTGTCTGCAAGTGGAGCCTACCTGGCGACGATTGATCGAGGAACTGGAGCCTCTAGGCTTCGGTTTAGCCACTGTACACGCTAAGAAGGAGTCCGCATTAGCGAGAAGACTCGGCATTCACTCGCTTCCGTGTCTCGTTGTTGTCGTAGAGGGACACGCTAGCGTTTACAAGGAATCTCTGTTCAGCATTCAGAAAGTTATCGGTACGTTGCTGGAACATTTGTCGAGAAACTCGGGCGCTTTGATCTACCGAGCTCTGACGGACGTGTTCATTTTTGCAGAATTTGTACGAAATAGACTACCATATAAATTGATACGCACCGTTAGCAATGTTAACGTAGAAAACTTCCTGTCGGGTTGGACGGACAATCGAATTCGCGCGCTGATCTTCGAGAAGAGAGACTTTATCCGATTGCGATATCTGCTTACATCTTTCTATCACAGAGACCGGGTGGCGTTTGGTTTCGTCCAGGTAAGTGTCCTCAATGATGAACCAACACCGGATTGGCCCTCCGGAGTTATTCCGCTCGTTAATCGCAATATCTGGCATTGGTTATTGACAGATCGGTATACCTGAAACCGAGGGCATTACGTCGAAATACAAAATCTCAGGGGAACTGGACACGCTACTGCTGTTCAATGAGAATTCTGAGAAGCCTATGGCGTCCGTTAGTATGAAAGATATTTCCAGCGAGACCATGCATAACGTTATCGCCAACAATAAGTTTCTCGTTTTGCCAAGGCTTTCGAATCAAGCCATGTTGGACTCTATATGCCCGCCTGAATGGTTGAAGCCGCAGAAGCGCTTGTGCGCCGTTTTAATATCGCAACAAAATAGCCCACTTCACGATACGGCTAGGCACAAATTCCGACAAGCGGCCTTAGAGTCCTCTTACAGGTAGCGTCTGCGGATTAATGTGAATTTGGAGCTGAGAGCCGATGCTCTCTCGGGCGATTATCTTATTTACCGGTTATTCTGATTTTTGCAGCACCGAACGCGTAAGATACGCGTACGTGTTCAAGGACACACAGCCCGAATTCGTGTCGGCGCTGTCGGCCGGCGAGGGCAGCCCGTTGGAGCCTCTGTTACATATCGTCATCATCTGGAGACGAGACGCCAATCATCTGAAGTACGAGTGGCTGCCCAACGGATGGGTCGATGCGGCACAGGATGAACGTATATGGAATGAGACGCGTAGGCATTTAGAAAAGACTATACAGAGGCTGTTACGCGCTACCGAAGCTTTACCGTATGCCGCTGTCATAGGGGAATTAGCGGACGAGCACGCACAGGTATGCATTCTACGGCGCATATCTCAATGACGGGTCCTACTTCTAACTGTTGTCGCACAGTTATGCAAGAAAGATTCAATCCACGGGAGTACGCTTCGAGAAAGATGAGGATGAAGATTTGATGACACGATTTAAAAAGTATAAATAGCACTGACGTTTTTTACGATCGTTCGAGAAGTCAAGCGTGGTTCATTTTCTTCTCTTTAAGGGTATTCATTGACAAGCTTAACAACTCTCAAAGCAACTCTCAAAATAAAAAGAGAAAAAACAATAAGAAATGGCTCTAGTAGAAGATAAGGACTTTTTTAAAATTAATTTTAAACGTCCACGAGGCTAGACTACTCATTGGTCAACAAAATCTCAAAAGTTGTAATTTTGTGGGTTGGATTTTTCTTGCATAACTTAAACAACACAAACACACAAACACAATTATTCAATTTTTTGACGTTAGACTTATCTCTAGTTGCCTATATCGCCTATATTTATATCTGGATATATTTTTATCTAGGGCACTGTAGACAGATTAATAGGAAGGGCATTATTAGCGGTAGATTATATATCCGATAATCTAACGAAAGAGCAGATTTTGCCTCTGATATCGGTACTAGCGACTCTCGTGCTAATCGGAGCTGCAGGGTATGGAATGTCATACCTAGCGTGAGTAGAATTTAACTGCGAAATTGCGCGATCACATCCGTCAGTCTGATTTCGGTATCGCGGTATTAACTATTAATTTATTAACTATTCATTTTCACGACCGAACATTAATAGATCGATGAATGCGTGCGCCAATAAAGCGAGCGATTACTAATCCCTTAATTGAGCATGTGTACCATCCATATGCGTGCGTGACGGATTCGTTATGAGATAATGTTATAAAATTTCACATATCGCGTTACTCTGTCGAGAGCCGTGAATACGCGTTCTCATGCGTTTTTCTTTGTTATTTCAGCAAGCTAGAAGAAGCGAGCGTTCATACCACCCGAAAGGAAAAATTGTCCCCGCCGCAGCCGCAGCTTCGGATACACGAATTACGCGCGGAGAAGTACAATGGATTGGTCCGGCTTTTAAAGCCCGGATGCCGAACCATCATTCTGCTGGTCGACACTCCGAGTCGATTGAAGTTGTTGCCAAGCTTCCACAAAGCTGTGTGGCCTTATAGGTATGCCGCATTTCATTTATCAGACGGTGCGCTGTACGTTATAGTTATAGCACAACGGACTTCATTAATGCTGTCTCATTCCCTAAGCGTAGTAACATCGGAAATTTCTTATTGGGCACGTTATTTTTGAATATTTGCGCATCACCACGATTGCAGCTTCGGAGAATCGTTGCCGATTCATTCAAATTACCAACAGTCGTGATGTATAAATAATGTTCCAGATTAGAAATTTTCGATGTCGCTATGCTTTAAGGAATGGGACGGTATTAATGGAGTCCGCCATGTGTGCCAAATATCACCCGGCAATAAAGAGTCACTCAATAATTACATCACGCCACGAAGGAGGAAGGGGAGTAAAAGCCATTTAGGCCCTCGACACGGTTCTTATTTTTGTGCTGGATCTAAAAAAATCTAATAATATAATATGGAGGCAGGGTGGGGAGGATAATTCCACATGGGGTAAAATTGGAAAGGGATCTAAAAACTTCGAAGGGGAAGGAAGGGAAAATACTCAAATTTCGTGTAACGTAATTGCTGAATGGCCCTAATCGTGTAATTAGTATGCATCGATTAATTTTGTGAATCAAGAATGCGTCACAGACTGAGCAACTCGGCACTTGCAGGAAGAATAGGACGCTTATGTTCGCACACATGTCACTAGAGAAGGGTCTCGATTGGTATAAGAAACTCTTATCTCTCACTTTATTCGACCACAAAGAGCTGAACATAAATGCAAAGAATTGCGTGGGAACGGTGTTGTCCTTGAACGGCCACCGCAAATACTTCTGCATGTACCACGCCAAACTTCCGGAATGTACATTAATGACGAAAGGTAAAAGTATCAAGGTATGTATCGGAATACCTTGAGAAGAGGGGAAAAGGAACCTCTGTGCGGTCTGAAATTTTAACGTTTGTGTTGTGTCACGTTATGTAGCGCATAGAGAGGATCACCAAGCAACTCACTCAGAGACCGGAGGACGCGGAAGCCGGTGCTTTCATCGGTTTCGACAGTTCCAACGACTCCGATATGTCTCAGGATGAGGTAAACTATATATAGAGCGACAGGTCGCTGAGAATTTCTGTTGTTTCACTGTTGTTACTGCGATTGTCGGTTGTTAATAGACGATTAACGGCAGTGTTACGTCTCGCATAGGATTAATTGTTGCAATTAATATCTATTAATCGTGTGCGTGCTGCGGTACTTTTCTTGCAGGGTGGAAACAACGTTTTATATCAAGACAACCTTTTGGACGGGTTACCGATGTGGCTCGACAGACTGTTCGAGGGATTAACACAACGTTATTACATAAATTATTGGCCCGAGTTCACTGCCAAGTAAAGGAACGAAGAAGGAGGATACGTTCTTCATTTTCTTTTTCTTCCTCTTTTCTTTCGCTCTTTTTTTTTCTTTTTTTTTCTTTCTTTTTTCTTCTTGAGACGCGTACACACTAGTGGATGGTGAAGGAACAAGAAGGTTCGCCTAGTCAGCAAAATATTATTGCCATTGGAGACATACTGTGATTCGAACGAACAGAAAGATGCGCGCACGGCCCTCTGTATAAAGACAAAGAATATTTCATTATTCGTTAAGTATTGTTTGTACACCTGTTTACAGTTCCTTGTATTCTCATGATTCATTTTAGATTGGATGTTTAAGTATCGTTAAAGTACGCTATAAAACATATTACACATAGCAAAAAGGAGAGAGAGAGAAAGAAAGGAAGGTTGGAGGGGGCCACTACTATTGAGTGTAGTGGCGCTCGATCGACTCCGGACATAGAGATCAATGTTTTCTGTATACTATACACTTCGTCCGTTCCTATTATAACTCGAATACTCTTTCTATTCCTCGAAATATCGCTTATAACTATCTAGTCAACGTTACTAAGAACTTAGCAGTATTTATATTGCACAGTACAAGTAATAGATCGTTTATATTTCCGTAGATAGTAATCTACGAATCGATTCACAAGGTCCTCGACACACACATGTACTCATGAATACGTTCGAATCCCTCACGACGTACAGTAACGATCGCTATTTTTAATGTCGTGAAACGAGAGAAGGGAAATCTGTAAGTCTGCATTGATATGTTTATACCTTAAAGGAGATGCGTATCTCTGTCGCTTGTTCCACGCTCCGTTTATCCGGCGCCCTCATTTGTATATCGAGCGTGTTCCTCGAATCCGTAATAACGTCTACGAGCTCTCTCTCACACACACATAATTTATACTTTCATCGTACTCTTTATAGTTACCGTAAAATCGATATTCGAAGCGATACAGCTTCTTTTAGCGTGATATCGTGCTTGTGAGGAGATGCGGTCGCCCTTATCGAGATCTTACACACGTCCATTACTTCCAAATCGTTTTACGCTCTCATCGGTCTTTCATATCAGTTGTATAACATTATTTATAAACGATATGCAATTATCCGGCCAAATATTTTTCTCTTAACCTTTTAGCAAACTCTCGCCCTCGCAGCCATTTGTTTCCCTCCACCGAAACCGGACACGTATTTCTCCGCAAAGCGACAGATAACATAGGTACACATCGTGTTACTTACATAAGATATATATATATATATATATATATATATATATTCCCACTACGCGAGAGGCTATTAGAAAGTATTAAAATGTATTATAGAAACATAAACGAGATATATCATAATGCTGTTGAAACTGCAAGTTATGCGCGCCAGCTCAATTGTTTATACTTTATATCCTTATATGACGAATTAAAATTGACGAAATAATAAACACACAATGGAGTTGTAACATTTCTACCCTGACGTCGATCTCGCGTGTTCGAGATGCATTCCGTCCCAAGTACAGTGATTAAGTAGAGCTTGTATTAATTTTGCGGTAACTATAAAAAACGGCGCTTACCAGGCATGCCTCCGAACATCACATCATTGTGTACGCAATAGAGCGGACTTCGAATTAGTTTTACGAGAGATGTGTGATACGATATAAATATACATTTGTTATGTCCCACAAAGAGACGTTTCGAGAGATTGCGTATGAAGAAAGGAAAGATATATATATATATTTTTTTTTTTCCTTATATATATATATATATATATATATATACGACATCTCTCGTATATATATCTAAAAATGTTGAATGATAAAGCGTTGTAGTTTATCGTACGTTTCCCGCATTAACAAGTGCACACGCATATACACACACACACGTATCTCTCTCTCGGTGTGGGCCGCGTATGATGACCGTTTGGAACTCTTGCTCTCTCGGATATGCGTCTGGAGTGATAACGCAATGAAATCCTCCGGGAAGGAAGTGAACGGGATTGCATACTCGTCGTATGATCACATTGATTTATTCGTTAAAAGTGACATTATTTGCGCTGCAGTTCCGGGAATACTTCGTACATCAATACCTCAAATATGTCCTGCGAAGGAAAAGAGGAATGAGAATGAGAGATGGGGAGAAAGCATACGACGGCACGGGAAGTCAGAGACACCGCTCACTCGGACCAATTACTCACGTAAAATAACTGTTTGTTCAGGTTGACGTTCTGCAGGGAATCGAAAACCTTGGTTGCGCCGCGCTGCGCGCTCTGCGCCCCCACCAAGTTCGTCAGTACTTCAGGTACATTGTTGATAAATTGCCGGCGCGCCTCGCCCCGTGTCTTCAGCTTCTCCTCGTCGGTGCGAAGAACGGCTTCGGATACGAGCTGACCGTTCGGCCACCACGACTTGGTGAACAGTTGTATGTAATAGTGGAGCATCGGCTCGGAGAACACCCATGCGACGGTATCTCTGATTTGCCTGCGCGATCAGTGTTAATATTAACATTAATGATATTCAACGTATATCATTGATGTCAATATTATCATTATTTATATGTATATTAATGTTAACATTAAATTGATATATTAATAATAATATTACTTTGCAAAACATCCGTTGATACTATAACGAAGTATCTTCACAAGAGAAAAAAGGAGGCTGATTGTTTTTCGTATAAAAAAAATTGAAATAAAATATTAAACTTATACGTATACGTATTTATTTCTAACAAGATAATTGTGCACTTTTCAAGTATTTTAGGATTTCATTTTATGGGGTCATTTAATAATTAAGTCAGGCGAAGTTTGGATATTTTTATCCCCCTCTCCACCGCCGACACTGACTGTGTTTCATTTGAGCGCTCATGGATTGTAGGGGCTATTCCATCTTTCTTTGGTATGTAATGAACAATAAAGACAGAATAATGCTTATAGCACGTGAACAGCCAAACGGTCTAGCAAAATTACAGTTACATAATTAGCAAAAGTTGCGTTTTCAACAGAATAAATATAAAAAAATTAACATTTTGATCATTGACGCCAAACGACGTCAAAACTTAAAAATTCTCACCAAATGTAACCAAATGTGTCACGAATATAAACAAAGTGGATAATCACGCACATCCGTATTTAATTATGCCAAATTATGCCATTTAATGTGATATTCCATGACTTTTATTCCACTCTTCCCTTCCATCGCAGCTGTCACGAAAACTAATAGACCCTCCTCGTGGTGTGACGTAATTGTTTCGATTGGCCCTCTTATATTAAGTTCAATTTTTCGTTATCTTCCATACAGCACAAAAGCTTGCAGCAGCATTGCAACGAGCTAAATGTAATAAGACAAAGAAAAATCTGCGTACGAGTGAGGTTTTTCGTTTGCGTGAAGTTTTACCTGTTTATGGTCCGTCCGTAGGTGATCTGTACAAAGGTAATCAGAGATCGCCGGAGCCAACGGAACACCCCTCTCAAGTCGAAAACTTCTCCTAGAAGCGTATACAAAGGCTCCGCAATCGCATCTTTGCTTGCGTTTAGATAGTTGTCCGTGGCGGTACGGCCGCTTTCGCTATCGTCCAGCAACAACGAATAATCCTCTTCGTCCTCTTTGTCGCGCGGCTCGTTGTTGCCAACAGACCTGTCATAGAAATTAACGCGGAATTAACGATGACGACTCGAACGAATCGCGTGCGAGAGTAAATGCGTACGTTTTGAATAACGTCGACAGAGAGAAGCGAGATTTCTTGGGGGACGGCGCTACGGCTTTCAAATGCTCCGAGCTTGGGCTGAGGAAGGCGTACAATGCCTCGCTCTGATTGAGCCTCTCGTCTTCCAGGACAAACTGCGAGAATCAACGAGATCTCAGTGTGAGAAATTTAAGACCCCGTGTTAAAGGGATGTCAAAGTTGACGACGAGTTCAGCCAATACGACGTGAACTTAGAAAATTGTGAAAAGAAACTTGTAGAAAGAAGTCAGTATTTTGCTGACAAAGTTTTCAAATATGAAGTCCTCCTCATAGTTGTTGAAACTTGCCTCAGGTGACCTCAGGCTCGAATATAGAATAAGATGTGAGTTTTTCCGTTGAATCGCGCGATTACAAATGCATGTTGCAGATATTATACAATCCAAATGAAAAGTTCGAGTCTAAATTTAAATTTGAGCTTCTCACCCGAGGTAAGTAGCGACTATTAGTATGGACTCGCGGATTGAAAGGGACTCCATCGCGAGACTCACATTTAAATATTTTTGTATCTGCATCCTAGCTTTGTCGAGGGTGCTTTTGTCGGATTTCCCGAAGAACTTGAGGGGCTGCGAGGGTAGGTCCAAGTTCTTCACGTTAGAGCACAGCTGGCGCAATTTTCTATGAAGATCCTGAAAGTCTTGTAATTTCCTCAACACCACCCATCCGCTGGATATGCTCTCGTCGTTGTCTTCCTCCGCCATATGGACAACCAGTACAAATTGCGGAGGGTCCCCGTTATCGGGCATCTAATCAACAATATTGCGAGCCTAGTAAGACCTTCCGTATGAGCATCGGTGAATGATATATTGAATTTACCTCTGCGCTTTGCACGTCGGCTCTCCAATGACCCAAGTGCTCGGCCCACATCTCCGTGTGGGTCAGATGCGCCTCCAGTTGCCGTTTCTCGCCTTGCAGCCACTCGACCTCCTTCGCCAGAATGCTCAGCACCTTGCTCTCGGGCTTGAGAGAGGACCTGAGCGCCTGTAAGGCTTGCATCTTGTTGTTCAATTTTTCCTGCAGCTGATCCAGTTTACTACGAGCGTAATTCGAGCGCTCACCAACGAGCAAGGATGAAGATTCCGACAGGGTACCGTCCGCCATCCCGCGATCCTCGACCAAACCTTCATAACAAAGAGCGTTTATCGCATCGGCGATAATAATAGAATCGCCTGAAACTTGGCTCCAACACAGACCTTCTGCTCTCTCATTGAGTAACGCCTCCTGCATGCTTTTGTACTGCTCGCTGACGAGAAACGACGGGTAATATTTGTCTTGGAGCGTCTTCACAACGTCGTCTTGAACCTCGTAAAATACAGCGGGCCCCTTGTCGCCCAGGAGGAAAGCCTCCATCCGCTTGCGAACGTTCTTATCCACCTTGATTTCAGCAGTGGGTGACCTGATGTAAGTGTAAAAGATCTCGGCCCCCAATTGATGCCAGTTGGATCTGTCGGCGGCGCGCAATTCCTGCACCGCCGCCCAATAGCCGATCAGCCCTTGACTAGCGACCTGTTCCAAGAACTGAGACAGATACCGGCGGCCGGTCACGTTATCCAGAATCGCCTGCAGAGGAAGTATTCTGCTCTCGGACACCTCCGTGGCGTCGCAGATCTCCGTGTCCTGGAATACGTCATTATGAAATATAGTTCTTATCGCGATCAGCGCGATAAACATGTTCGTGTGTAACCTGACGAGGATATCCGTCCCATCCCAATGTCTGCATGTGACATTCGCACGTGTTTTTAGCATAGGTCAGTTGGCTGATGTACCTCTTCAGTTTTCTCGCTTGCACGGCGTCGGACTTGCCGAACGCGTTATTCTCAGGATCCAAACCTTGAGCACGCTTGACGTTCTGTATCGTGGTGGCCTGCATGATCTCGGTAACGATATTGTATCTGATATGTTTTAGAACCTCCAGGTCCTTGGAGGCCTTGATCATACGAATGAAGTCCTCGAAGGACTCCGCATATTCGTACGTTTTCCTATGCATCGCCTCGGCGAGCTGCTGCTGATCGATATACGCCAGAATCTTCTGATTGATGTAGTCGGGATCCGTGATCAAATCTATCGCTGGCTTTAGGACTGAAACGGAGATAGACAGATTCGGAGATGCCGACCGATTGATCACTCACCAATATGAGATGATAATATACACTCACTTTTGCACGTGAGAACCTCCCTCAGGAGGAATTTTACGGGGGATAGGGAGTAACTGCGTGGTAATAAAAATAGAATATAAAGTTCGCTAATTTTTCTTAAATACTCCAACTCTGCAACAGGTGACATCAGATGCGCCGATAAAATAAATACAGGATCCTCCCCTTCCGATCTGAATGCGGCAAACGTTTCAAATCGTAAAGATTATTTTTAAGCCCCTCGGACGTTCAATCATAAAAAGGAGGAAATAGGCTGATAAGGGCGAAATTACAGATATGGCACTATACGATCTGTGCTTTTGCCCTTACCGGTCTATTTTCTCCTTTTAAATATCTCGTTCCATCATCTTACATTTCTTATATAAATGTCTCAAAGCCAATGAGGAGGAAACTTACGAAGCTGCTTGGGCTATCCTGATCTTCTCAAAGTGAAAGGTAAGCTTGTTCACTATATTACAAACAACTAATTTCGTGTGATCAACACGCGATAAGCGGTCATGGAGGCTCTGTATCGCGCCCCACACATCCTGCTTCATATTATCTATCAGCTGTTCCGAGCCAAAAGCCAAGTCGTTCAACCAAGAACCAACAAAGTCCTGAAAAACTAAATCCAGCAAGTTCTGCAGAGCACCGTCCACCAGACGAGTGAAAACCACAGGATAACGCGTGTGTTTCCTAGCGGTGGCTGATTTCGGCTCGTATCCTTTCTGGAAGATCAGAATGCAAGGTCAGAAGCGATAAGGAAATATTCCTCACTTCACGGCTTGTTGACAGGACAATACTCAGCATTATCGATTATATGAGCTACGGTATGCTGCCATATGTTAAGTATCAATTATCAATGTTGAAGAATGTTATCAATTTGTCACCGATGACATTCATCATTAACATACCAGTAACATGTTGTGGAACGCATCTATCTCAGCAATAGTTCTAACGGTACCAGAGCCGGTCTGGTGTCTCGGCGAGAGAGCTATGTTGATCAGTATCATGATTAACGGGCCGACGAGCAAACAGGAGCAAGTCAGCACAACGTAAAGATAACAATATTGAACGTGACTCCAGTTCATAACAACAGCCATACTTGTGACAGTCAGTGTGATGCAAACGACAACTGGGGAAATCATCGTCGTTTCTCTTTGGTAGCAACGGTAACACGACGGCGAGAGCAATAAATACTTATATCAACGGTCGCGTATCCACGATAATACTCTCGATTCCCGCCGGATTAATAATATAAAACAATACTGACAAGTGCGTCGCCATTTTTAAATGCCGCCCCCGATATCCACGCTCTGCGGCTCCACTTTAAGTGACGGATGTACTACCGCCATCTTCTGGCGATACTATGCAACCGACCTACTTTATTGATCGAGGATAATGACAAAAGGATTCCGCGATAAGTAAGTCGGATTGCCGCAGGATGCGGAAGGATTATCGAGGATCTTTCTTCGCTAATATTATAATTGACGTTTAATTCCCCTTTAGTTCATCATTAATGCGGTTGATTCCCAATCAAATTGATTCATCTCTTTCTTTTCATTAATTTATAATATCCCATTAATAGTAAGGCAATATCAGTGTTATAATTTCCCACTCAACAATGTAATATAACGCGCGTGTTATATTTACACATCGCTGACCGGCATCATCTTGAGGTCGGGGTAATTCCAGTCAATCTCATTTTTCACTTTATTCATTTCTCTCTAGTACATATTTTCATATTTTTATAGAATTTTTCGCGTCAGTCTATATTATAATAAATACCTGTAGGTATCTGTTGCATTAAGCAAATCCTGAGTCTGAAATTTCTTACCAGTTTCATAAGAGTTTCCGCTTAGGTGATCGTTCTATTACCCGATTTCATCTTAATAGATTATTTAACCCTTTGCACTCGAGGGCTCCGGAGCGGAGCTATTTTAAATTTGTCTTCAAACTCGAGGCTAAATTTTGTGCTAAATCAACTCTTGTGCTAAATTTTGCTTCTGTGCCGAAATTTTCCATTTTAAATTTACCAATTTTAAAGTTTTACCAATAAAAAATATATATTTAACCCTTTGCACTCGAGGGCTCCGCTATGGAGACAATGCAAATAACTTTCAGTTCATAACATAAGGATAAAGACAAATTGTAAAAACTATTGTGTATAGGATATTCCGCTCTTGCTATTTGCATATGAGTTTGAAGAGTTTGAAGACAAATTTTAAATGGCTCCGCTCCGGAGCCCTCGAGTGCAAAGGGTTAAATATATATTTTTTATTGGTAAAACTTTAAAATTGGTAAATTTAAAATGGAAAATTTCGGCACAGAAGCAAAATTTAGCACAAGATATTACGATTTTTACAATCCAAACATTATTCAATCCGAGATTGAGCGCAAATGAGCACACAAGCGATACCCGTAATCTAACGATAAAACAGTAAACCTGTTTCCTTAATTTCTTTCAAGGATACGCGAGAAGTTGACGAAATCGACCTTGCATTGCATACAACGGTCTAATTGTAGCAGTCGCTTTCGTAACGCATCCCAAAGATAAGATAAACAGTCGAACTGCAGCTTGTGCAGGTACAAAAGTCACCTCCTACTTTAATTACACGCTGATAAAGGAACTGATTTTATTATATTTCATCACATTTCCACATTTCAGCATAAGACAGTTGAAAATATAAAACTCTCTATTGTTACAAAATATTCTTACAATCTCTTTATGATTCCTGTAAACCCTTGGACCGCATTATAGGTAAGATAAACTCAGTGATTTGTGTTTGAGTCCTCTTTCCAGTGATCCAAAGAAATTGTTTTTCGAACGCACACTAGAGTCATATTTTTTCTGTTGGAACTATCAACTTAATCGATCTATAATTGCAGATCAAAATAATAAGTATAACAATTACAATTTTTTAAAATAAAACATTATAATTCGCTAGATCACTGTCTAAATTCGAATTTTTTTCAGTAATTTGAAATTTGACTTTCTATGAATGCATGATCAAACATTAAAAAATAGAAGAGTTACACTTTATTTTAGAATTTTTGTCAACCTTTTTTCTTCTACAGTTTTTCCGATATAGAATTTAGAAAATCGCACAGGACCAATATGACCTTGTTTGCGGTGCGAACGATTTTTTAAAAGTGTGCGGTTAAACGATTAATTCGATTTTCTTAACGTTTATACCAGCTTTGGCAATTTTGCTCTGATGAAATAGATAAAAATTAATTTTTGTATAATCAATTCAATGAATTCTGTTCAGACAGCACAAAGCCTAAAACTGGAACATAAAACGTTTACATCGCGTTTTAAAATCATCTTTAAGTAATCTTGTTTATAAGACATCTTAACGATGTCTTAACCCTTTCGCGGCGAACAGCGCCTTTAGGCGCTCAGCTATAGATGCTCATTCTCAGCGAACAGCGCCGTTCGGCGCTCAGGCAAATTTACCCGCGGTGAACGAACAGCGCCAGATGGCGCCCATCCGGAGCCGCTCTCTTCGTACGAAGGCGCTGTTCGTTTGTTATCAACAACTGCCATTAATGTCCATTAAGTTGTTTTTGACGTGCTAGCAGCATACGCTTCTTGTGCAAAGGTTTTTTTTACATAGTCAAATATTATATACACACTGCGTTCGGAACGACTCGCGTATTTGGTCCGCGCGGTCGATCTGGCATCGGCTGCTTAGAGCGCAACTCTTTCCAGAGCACTCCGCCGCGAAAGGGTTAAAGATGTGTTATGTCCTGGTCTTATGTTTGGGTGGTTTATTCATTTTGCATTCTGGACTGGAGTTAGCGATGGTCTTCCAAACAATTGCTTTACATGGCTGTAATAACCCTGATGGGAGTGCGAGCGTTGTTCGTACTTGAATCTCAACGTGTCTAAGATATTCTCCCACAGAGCCGTGCATTCATTCATTCCCACGATATGTAATCATACGAAGCACGTGACACCGCTCCACCACTGCTACTCTCCAGGTGGTAATTTTTATGATGAGGACCGAGGATGCAAGCAGGGAAACGCAATCATGCGAACTCGCGCGACGGTGTATATAAAATGCTCATGAGCGAAGTTTTCGACTCTTTCAGTCATTCGAGCACGATGCTGTCGGCACGACGACGAATTTTCACGATAATCGCTCTGTCAAGCCTGTCGCTTGTCGCTGCGCTGAGGTAGGCCGTTTCCTGCTGCCTTTGCTGCTTCGTGGCCTCCTTTGCTATCGTGGTTGGCCCGTGTTGGTGATCGTAGCTCCGACGTCCTTTTTTTCCGGGCTGCCACAGTTTTCTTTCTTCCCCCTTTTTTCGATTGTCCCAAGATTTGTTGCTCACCAGTCTGCTACTTGCGATTGTTTTTTCACAGAATCCTTCTCCTTGTTCTGTTGCAGGCTGTTGTTGGAGAGCGAATCTCACCGCTACCACCAATTTGTTGCGTGAGTCGAGTCGACGCGAGTAGTGTGGGTTGCCCGTCGCTGCGCGGTAGAACGGAAAGCAATGATGGCAATAAATTATCTCTCGTTCGAAGGTAAACTTGTCTTTATTATGTTTTCCGCCCGATACAGTATTTCTAGTGTGACCGGCAGCGTGTCGGTACCCGAGAGCTGAGAGTCTAGAGTCACCCAGAGTTTGATCTCATGTCCCTTTTATCCTCTTCCTACGTCTAAATCAGAGGGGATAGTTTTGATGTGTCAGCGTCACTTGGGTGTGGACGTTGACCACCTTGATTTTGCATTCGCCGTATTGCATTCGCCAGAATGCAGAGTAGCATTTTTGCAAGGTGACGTTACGTAATTGGGGCAACGTACGATCGTAATTTGTTTATGGCAATCGACACGTCCCATGGTTATGCTTACAACAAATCTTACATTTAACACACTGGAGAAACCGCTTCTCTCAATGAGCTATTTGGTTATAAGTGTTATAACTGTCTGGGGATTTCCAAGTTTGCTTATATATATCCTTCCTGGGGAAGCAGGTTGAAGCAACCACTATGTTTTTACTTACGGCGAAGTCTATTATCCATATTCTATTATTATTGGATTCGGTATGTAGGCTTTCGTTCCTAACAAAGGGAATTTATTGCTTCCCTGCCAATTTTTGCGCTTAAGTCTCCCAGAATTATTTTAATATTATTCGACGCATCGTATTGCATCGGTATTGCATCGTATGTTCTTTCCAACACGTCATAGAAGATGTCTCTTGTACTGTTATCCTTCTCTTCAGTCTCCGCATGCACATTAATGAGACTCAGATTTGAAAATTTCGTTTTGACTCTGATAAGGCATATTCTGTCATTCACTGGACGGAATTCCAAGATATTTTCTTATATCTTCTTGTGTATAGCAAATGCTATACACGCCCCAGTGCGTGTCTTTGGCCACTACTACAGAAGAAATGATAGTCTCCTACCCTAAAATAGTACTTATCCGTCCATCGTGTTTCCTGAATGGCTAGGATCTGGATCTCACATCGTTCTAGTATTTCTACCAGATATTTAGTCGCTGCCGTCTCACAAAGGCTTCTTACATTCCACATACCAAGATTCATCTTCAAATTATATTTGCCAAGTTTTCGTCGCATTGTCCGTCCTGTCCGAGGCCTCTCTTCAGATTTCTTAACAGACACTTTTCACGGAGCAGGTTACTAGTTTAGCGCCCAACCCCAAACCTGGAGGACCAGGGACACTTCTATTAGGGTTACCATACCTTAGATTTGTTCCAGTTATTTATAGGCGCTGGAGGCTCGCCTATCACCCTCTCTCGTTAGCTACAAGGTGTATTGCCCAGGGGTCACGCGACATTACTGTCTTCTTGGACGTGAGAGTAAGATTTGTTGGTAGAGCTGACTCGATTCGAATTCCCAATTCTCTTGTTAGAATTTAGTGGGCATTTCTAGTAGTTTTGTCGCTACATAGACGCCCACGCAACCTTCTAGGCCCATACCAACTTTTGGTCCCCGGATTGAAATATTATCGCGCTTATTATCGGATTACATGTGTTGTTTGTTCGACGCATCAAACATTCAACACACAACTGATAGATGTTATACCCGCCGTTGTTAAAAACTTTTGTCCAAAATATACAGTCGTATAAAAATTGCCCGACTAGCGAAATTTTAACTCAACGATCCGGTGCGTGTGAGCAACTTCAAAACGATATTTGAAAAAAAAAAATGATACACACCTAATTGGTCTACCGAAGTATTTCGCGTAGCTAAAATACAACGGACCAATCCTGTAACGTACCTTTTGAAAGATTATCGCGAAAACAGGCGATTTCTACGAATACGAATTACAATGAGTCGCCAATCCGGAT